AATCATGTGGGCTATTTACCAAGCAAGTTTTGAAAATATATTATACTTTCAACAAACTATCTGTACACCATCGTTCTTCACACAACTACTGATTTGTATTATAACTACTGTTTTGTACTATAACTACTGTCTTGTATTATAAGTAATCAGGCATCATGAAAGAAACTACATAACCAGTATTAAGTGTTTTTAAGAGGAACCCAAGAGGGACGTGGTGGCTCAGTGGCTAAGATGCTGAGCTTGTCGATTAGAAAGGTCGGCAGTTCAGCGGTTTGACTCCCATTACTAGTCCCAGCTTCTGCCAACTTAGCAGTTGAAAAGCACGTAAAAATGCAAGTAGAAAAATAGGGACCACTTTGGTGGGAAGGTAACAGCGTTCTGTGCGCCTTTGGCATTTAGTAATGCTGGCCACATGACCATGGAGACAGCACTGGCTTCAGCTTTGAAACAGAAATGAGCACCACCCCCTAGAGCCGGAAATGACTAGCATGTATGTGCGAGGGGAACCTTTACCTTAAGAGGAACCCAAATTATTTTTCAAGGTATAGAACCAGAAATCACAAAATATATGAAAATTTTCAGAATTGTTCAAGTAGTATCCAAATCATACATAATCCACTTTGGATAAGGTTAAGCAAAATTCTTGACCTCAACTACTGTAACCCCTTAAAACAAAAGCGGATAATAAATTTCATAGTATACACAAGTGATTACTACTTTGGAGACCTCAGGGCACAATAATTAACAGTTTCCCTGGTATTTTTCATAAAGTTCCCATTGAAAGACATAAGCATTTTTAATAAACTAAATATAAATGCAATATTAAAAACCAAACCTAAGAGTTATAAAAAGTATGCAGTGATGAGATCAGAATGAATCTGATTACTCAGACAGATCCATTAAATTGAATGGACACTTTAATCATTTAAAATCCCATGATTTAGGACATAATTAAATCCTGAGGCTAGGCTTGGATCCAATCCATTAGTTTCTTTTTTAAAAAAAAAAACTTAAAACTCACCAGATTGTTTAAATTTAAGACAGATTTTTATAAGCAGCTTCGGATTAAACGGCAATCGTGACTAAGCATTTAGGGTACATAAAACCAGTGAAGGTACAGTGCCCGGCTGGCTACGTCAGCCCTATACCCTTCTCATTTCACTCACTATATTGTATTTGCTTCGCTCCAACAAACACAAACACACCCTCTATCTCCCCACCCCCCCCGAAGTGTGCACCGTTTACAAATTAAAGACGCCCTGCAAAAACTCACACCGTCAAGAAATGAGGCACGTATCGTCAACTCCCCTTTTTTAAATAAATAAATAAAAAATACGTTATTCCCTTAACAGAAGAGGGGAAACGGGATGGGAAAACGCTCCTCTGGCTCGGGAGACGAAAGGAGTGCAGATTCCTAGAGCCGGTCACCTTCCTCCCCTTCCAGGACGAGCCGGGCTAGTGGAAGAGATGGCGGAGGCGGCCCTTCGGCTGTGCGCGTCTCCGCACCCCTTTTCCCGGCGGGGGGTGGAAAGCCGCTCCCTTAGCAACCACCTGCGATAGGTTCTCAAGCCGTCCTCTTCCTCCGCGGCCCTTACAAGCCTCTTGCCAACTTTGTTCTATCCCCTCACCATCCGCTGAGGAGGCCCGAACCTCGACCAGGCCTCGGCCTCACTCACCGTGAGGCAGCACAAACAGCGGCGGAGGCGGCGGCAATGGCAACGGGAGCAGCGGTGGCGCCTTTTAGCCTCTCCCCGAAATACACACCACCCAACTCAAATTAAGGGCGCACTGGAGCGTCTGGCGGCCGGGGCATTTTATAGAGTTGGGGGCGGAGCGGACCCGAGGGCCTTGGCGTTTGTCCCCGCCCCTTCCACTCACCGGGCCGGGTATGTCGTCTTGAGCGCCTGCGCCGGGCGACTCAGCGAGCATCGGCCCCCCGCCTTCATCGTGGAGGGACTGCGGAGGGGCCGAGAGGGGAATAACTTAGTTCGTATAAAAAAGAAGGAGGAGACCCTTAAACGTATTTAGATATTAAGTACCTTGGGGTCCTTCAGGCAAAATCGGAGGTTGCCCTCTACGAGTACGCTCGTGGCCGAGGCTACCTCATAGTAGTGGCGACGGTGTTACGTCATAATAGGAAGGACAGTTTCTCATTTATTCTGTAATTATTTTCCCTTTTCTTTTCCCTGTTGGAGTTGGACGGCTGCGTAATTCATGTCTGATAATCGTGGATGCTGCTTGTATGTGTGTGTGTGAATCCAGCTCCTTCTGGTTATTACTCCGTGGGCTTATTTGGCCCCCTCCCACAAAAGATGTTGAGTAATTGATGAAGACAGAGAAATTGAAACAGGAGGAATATCAAGTAGTTCAGTGCCGCCTAAGAAATTACATTTACTATGTTAGAGTTATACGTGTGTATCCACAAATGCACCAGACGTTTCAACGTACCCTTGGAATTAAGTATTAAGGGAATCGGTCTAAGTATGTTTTTCACATATAATCATTGGTAAGAAACTATTCCATCATCCTAACATTAGCTAGTGCTTTACATCGACTGTTTCATATCAGGCAAAGTGTTAATTGCCATTACTATGCTAGGATAATTATTCAAGTTGTTTCTTTAGCAAGAATACAGAATTGATTGGTTAGTCGCCTGCCCTCGCCAAATAGTTCTATTTTAATTGTGTAAATTTTCCAACTTTTGAAAGAGGAAACCTTGAAAAGGGGCCTGCTTATATAATGGGCAGCACTACATTTACTCTTCTGGCACAATAAAATTTCAAATTGTACATTATGTTTTCTCTCCACCCCACACCTCCCAATAAATATTTCTAGAAGAGCATCCTCTGAAAAACTTTCCAGATCAAGGACCAGATCATAACTTGACACTAAACCAGTGTTTGGAATTAAGAGATATCTGCCACTTAAACCAAAGTTTAAATAAACTCAGGCAAAAACTATTCCCAAAGCAGTTCTAAACTACTTCAAATAAATGCCATATGATGTTTGATATCGCAGCAATATCACAATTTATTTCCTTATTTGCTACCCCCTCCCACATTTATGGATTAGTCATGAGACAGCAAACCTTTTTTTTTTCCAAGCCAGAAAGTCTTACCTCTTGCTTGATAAATCTAGTGCATCAAGCACCATCTTCTAATATTTGTAGAACTGGAGTGTTCAATCTTCAAGCATTAAATTTCTCTTAGGCATACAGAGGGAACTGCAGCAAAAAGATAAGTCCAGGTAGATCTAGACAAGGCATTATAAACCCAATACAAGAGATCACTGTCAGCCACAGTGGAATACTTAGCCCAGATATTGATGAAAACATCCAATTCCACCATCACCATCTAGTATAGCATAGGTAGTTCTTGTTTAGCAACTCTTTGCATTTATGATGATGAAAAAGTAACTTTGCAATCAATCCTTGCATTTATGACCTTCTCAGGCCAATAAAGCAAAGGGGAAGCCATAAGCAGAGACCATAAGCAGCCCTAATTTCACTTAGCAACTGAGTTATTGGTCACTAAACAAGGATTACTTGGAAGTAAAATTGCCTTTGAACCAAGCATGAGCTCAACAATTTATATTGATATCTCCATGCATTCTTATTAGTATGGGTTAGTTCTGGCTCACTGCCTTCTTTCAGGATGTTTTCCAAGCTCCTGGACAAACCAACTTCACAGATGTTTCCTAATTAACTTTCTAGATAAGCCAAAGTTGGCTAGGTACTACCCCTCCCCTCCCCCCTCCCCAAAAAGGATTTAACAATGACTTCCTTTCTGACCATGCTATGTGATTTTCAAACATGACTTTTAAATAAGTATTTAAAACGTTAGAGTAACAGAGCTATCATATTAACTTTCATAGATCAAAATCAACTTAAATCAGGTTTATTAAATATCACTAGTGTCCATGATTTGTGATGTAAATGACTAAGTATGCTGTACGTTTTCATATTAGTATGTTTTGTTAGCATAAAATTATAAAAAATAGTCCACTTTATTATGTTCTAAACATTTACTACCTGCTTTTTCAGCTGAACAATTCTTTTGCATAATACATAAGGCTCCAAGACCAGTCAACAGGCCTTTTCAACAAAACAATTTCAGCTTTCTCTTTCGTTTCCAGAAACCATATTTAACAAAGAACAGTAACTTGCTTAGAAAATGTCTTAAAAGCAGCCAATTAGACAATGGAATTCAAGAAGGATGGCTTCCAGTTTGAAAAGCTTCTCCAATCATGACATAGAAATTCCAATCATGGAAGTTACTACACTTAAAAGCGGGTAACATATTGTACATGGGAACGTTTTCTAATAATTCTGTGCTTAAATATGGGATCATGTGGAGAATAGGAGATGAAGCTGTAAAATGAAGCTGCAGTGTAACATTGTTAATTATCATTCAGTTAATTATCATTCAGTTAAAACAGTGCAAGAAAAATGTTTTGTTCAAACTGATATTCTTACTGGCTAAGACTAACGCTAAGTCATAGAAAAGTTGGCCACTTTCAGTTTATTGCTTATCTTTTTTTAAATCAGAGGGTATTTTAACTGGCATCTAATTTCTATTTGAAGGTGTTTTTTTTAAATTTCTATTAAAATGAATATTCTGGTCAACTGACGCTAGGGGGAAATGAAGAGCAATAACAGTGCCAATAGTATTTCTTTATACTTGTCCCTTTTTTGTTTTTTTGTAACTGTTTCTTAGAAAAACCTCAATTTTTGAAGTTTTTTCAGGAAAAGGAAATTGAAAATATGTATGATATGTATGAATGTACGTATGTATAGAGAGAAACTTATATGTAGTTAAAAATGCCTTGGCTGGGAATTACAGAATTTCCCTGCTTCTGAACAGCAACCCTTGATGCTAGGCCAACTACTTGAAATTGAAGGTATCAGCCCACTTCATTCCATGAAAAAGTTTCAAGAATCACAAAGTATGCACAACACTTTAACATGCCCTGTGCACATAAGGACTTTTCTCCCAACTTCATTATTCTGTTACTACTTTATTGAATGGTAAGTAAAAACACTAGTTACAAAGTAAGAGGAAATCACTGTTAATACATGTTTTGATTTTCACATTTGAGACAATCAGTTACAGGTGGCTTGTTGGTATATCCCCATTGTTACACTATTTTCATCATCATTCAACAAATGTGTGATACCAACAATTACAAGTAAGAATTTAACTTCCATTATAATAGATTCATTTTTCCTAGCTATTTAAATATCCCAAGTTCTGTGATCAGAATATATTCAGCAAGTATTTGGAGTATTTAGTCTATAACTTACTCACTGCCTTCTGGTCAAACCAAAGGAAAGTAAGCTGGGCATGAGAGTAATGGGTATGAGAGACTGCTACTACTAAAAATGGGTGCAGAGTATTGAGATTGATTTATGATCTCACCAGTTCCTTCCCATTTTTCATTCAGTAGCACAAAAGCTCATATTTTGTTTACAAGTATAGCAAAAAAAAGTAGATTTCATCAGGAACATTGAGGATATATAATTTTTAAGACCATGCTTAGATGAAGTTAGATTTAACTTCACAATGGAGACCTTTTCACTTTAAATATAGAATTAAATGTCATAATATCCATTTCAAAGAATAGCTTTCTCCCTAGGTGTTTGAAAAATGCTTACAGAATTATGGCAATAATTATTTGCCTAATATATCAGATTACAAAATCTGATCCTTAGATTATGATTTTTATGTACTGTAATGTTTCCTGAAATCAGCTTGTTTGTGACTTAGTCTTGTTTTGGTCTTTCAAAGGTTCAAAGAGACATAAAAGCTACTTTTTATTAAATACAACATGATATGTGCTTGCAATACATCTTCCAAACTTAGTTCACAAGTTTATTATGAAAAATGCTGCAACACTCTCCTGCAGCAACATCTTACAGAAATAAATTGTTCTTTCAAAGTAATTCACTATGAAGAACACATACATGGAACACTTTGTAAAGGAAATGTGTGAGAGAAAAATGGGAGTGGGAACAGAGTTCAGATGAAACAATAATACAATTAAATTAAATCGTTTCTCTAAAAAACAAAATAAGAACACAAATAAGAAAAGTCAGTCTTGGTGCTTATTTAAAATGTTCATTAAGCTTCAATGATAGTTTGCTATTCTTATCTACAATCATGCTGGAAAGCTAAAGCTAAAAGGAAAGTTACTTGTAATTCACGAAGTGTTAAATGTCTACATATTAATATTTGCAGTCTCTCAGAGAAAGCAAAAGTAACTACAAGTAGAACTATGCCAGAAACTGATTTCTTGACCAACAATGTTGCTTCAAGCATGCAATGAACTGGTTCATTCTAAAGTGGTCACAGTCGCTGACAGACAAGAGGCTTTGAATTTCAATATGGCACATCTTTTGGTCCATGTGAAAACAGGTTTCAATGTTAAATGTTTTCTGACACTTTGGAGTTACTGTTGCTCTTCCCATGTTCCTTTAGGTCAACACATGGTTCATGGCAATACTGTACAAGTGGAAAATCTCATTACAGAAAGTAGTCTGGGGTGCGACGAGTAACATGTGGTTCACCTCTGCGTGGTGCTGGATCAAACTGCAAACTGGAAGAAAGAATCCAAATTTGTTGGTCTATTAATGTTTTTAAAATAACCTATAACAAACTGAATACTGTTTGAAATTTCAAATAACACTTCAGAGCAATTTCTTCTGAAGGAGAGAGAAGCTTCCCTATAACGCTGCTAAGTGTGGCAAAGTAAATGGCAGGAGCCACTTTGGGAGAAAAAGAATTTCCGAAGAAAGTTCTATTCAGGCACAGAATTAATGTCTCGTCATTCACTGAGTTTATTCAAAAAGGAATTCAACCTATTTGTGTGAATCTTAAAAGTAAAAAGATTCCTTAACATACATAGTATTAATATAACAGAAGCAAGTATTTCTTAACATAACTTAGGGCTGAAACTTCAAAGAACTCATCTAGAAAAATAATTTTAAGGATTGAAGGTTAGGTTTTATAGTAACTCATGAATTAATGAGTACACCCTGAAATAGCCAAACATAAATGTTTTAAAATTTTATAAAGTTATACAAATTTAAAATAAATTGGCTATTCCACAAATAATCTCTTCTGAAATACCTGATAAGGCCAGATCAAGCAACAGTGCATATTTATTTCAAGCGCACGAGACTTTTTGTGTGTGTGTGTGAAAGTTTTAACTAGAAGATATAACATTGAACATTCTCATATAAATATTTTTTTAAAATACTTACAATGAATATTTTAAAGTATCATCAAGCTCCATAATTGCAGCTTGGTTACCACAACGGTAACAATAATTTGGAGCACTAAAAATTGTTACTACATTCCGATCATGACACCAGTTATATCCCTGAAAAAAAATATATATGTAATTTTAATAAGAGCCTCTGCAGATAAAATATTAGGCATATAAACTATAGTTATAATAAAATATATTACTGTATTAAAATATATCAAGGTATGATCTGGGTTTATTTTAAACATCTTAAAACGGTTAAGAGCGTGTCAATACAAGCTTACCTCCATTACCAGCTGATGAGCTCTTGAAACCAACGTAAGGCCATTAGCATGGTTGAAAGTTTCTGAAATATCTTGTCCAAAAGTATATCCAGCTCCTCGAGGAGAAATACCCCAACCACCCCGATCATCAGGATCTGACCACAGCAAATCACACATTGGACCCTAAGAAATATTTCAGCATAATGATTTAGCCTTTAAAAATGGAAGATGCCTAAAACAACATAGAAACTTCAAAGGGAAACTTTCAAAATAACAATTGGAATGGCTAAATATGTTGGGAACAGTTTACTTATCCACTGCTAATGGTAACTATTAGCAGTGATACTAGAAATTCAGAATTTATGTATTGCTAAGTTTCCTACACCTAGGCATTCTTAAGAATTCAATTACAGATACCGGTACTTTTCAGCTACAGCTGAATTCAACTAAAGCTAATTCTTGTGAACAACAATACTGTAAGACATTGTGGCAATGAACGTACTTCTGGGGAGAAAAAAACCCAGCATCTCCTTGCCCACACTCTAGCCATCCACAGAAAGAAGTTTCTTTCAGAATGGTGAAAATATAATATAGAAGTGAAAATTAGACAAAAGCTGTAAGTTTGAGTTGTGATTGCCAACACTTTATATAATTGATTTACTTCCTCAAGGCAGTAAAACCTGAGTCAGGCTCATTCTTCTGTAACATAATATACAAATCAAGGCTGAAAGATTTTTCAGAAATATGAGAAATTATTCATACTTAGAATCCATTTTATTTCATTCTTATAGACTGCTATCTGTAGCAATAAGACAATCAGACACCATTTCATTGGAATCTTTGTTCCATCAGAAGAACTCACAAAATCACCTAATATGAGAACTCATTTTCTACATAATTTTCCATCTTGTAGCTGCTTTGAAAAGTTCCTCAACCAACAGTGGAGAACTTTCGGCTTGTAAGAGAAATTGACTGCTAAAAGAATTTATCTCTCTATTCTGCTAATACCACTTCTCAATAAAAGAGCACTAAACACTCTAAATACTGACAATTATAAGATTTATTTAGCAAGATTGTCTGTCAGGTATGTATGGTAATAGTACCCAGGGAATTTTGCAACACATTAGCAATGTAAAAGCAAACTAACTAATTCTCATGAATTTAAAATTAGAGCCAGGGCATTAATTTTTAACACTACATAATTCTGAATCCACCATTATGAAGATTAAAAGAAAGATGATGCTATCAGACTGGGGAAATTATTGTCTTTCAGATATTGCTGAACTACAGTTTGGGATATCCCTTAACTTGCTCGTTCCTTCAGCAACAAGGAGAGTACAATAAATTATCCACTTGTGCACTGATTCTCTATCATGTCACTAATTCTCTATCGTGTACAGTACTTAAGTCTTTCGTCCTAGATTGAAATTCTATCTCTTAGTAGGGTTCTATAAACTCCATAATCAATTAATACATTAAAATTGCATTATTGCCAACTCTAGACTCATCAATAATTTGAAGACTCCAGACTTCTAGAGAATAGTAGCAGACTAAAGATGGCTCTGCAAAAAGTGAATTCCATGAAAAAAAATGGGGGAATAAACAGCAAAGGGATGATTAAAATTTTTATTACAAAATTACAAATAGACTTCAGATAAATCTGAAATAAGATTTGGGAATCAATTATAAAGTGCCTTCCTGTGGGAAAATATGTTTTGAATTATTTAAAAAAACTTTTTAAAAATGGACACTAGAGGGAACTAAAGATTATAAAGGAGAAGAATACTCAAAGTCAACTCACAATTATAGAATTAAGAAAACTGTCTTAACATTAGATCTATTTAAGGATGTGGGCTGAGAAATTAATTGCAAGATTGTCTGCCTCTTTAGTCAGACTGGGTTTAAAATATACTATGGAAGAATAACAAGTTTTAACTGACGAGAATGAAACTGGTTTAAAGTTAGATTTTAAAATGACAGGCTCCAAAAACAACATAGAAATAGATGTTACTCAGAAAGAAACCAACGGATGTTCTAATAATTAAAAAGGATATACAAATAAACAGAGTAAAATGGATAAATTTTCTATACTGGACCTACAAAAGAGGCTTGTTAAATGTTTTGAAGAATTTTGTGAAAAGGAACAAATAAAAAATAAAAACAAATCAAAATCTAGGACATTTTCTGAATGAATTAAAGATCAAGCTTGTTAAAGGTAAATGGAAAGAATGTACAGTTGCTTTATATGATCAAGGTTAAAATAGATATGTAACCTCAGGTAACCCTTAACAGACTTTTGCTGATACCAGGATTAAACTGATAAGGCTTTATTGTTTACAAATAAAAGATTGAATATGAGAAGAGATCATTTGCTGTATTTTAAGAGAAAGTGGTAAATTACTAAAATAGTTTTTACTTGTGATGAAGGAGGGGAAGTCCCTTCTTTATATATTTCCTTTCTCTACTGTATTCTTTTTTTCTTTTCCATATTCTTTTTGAGTTTTTTTTCTTCTGCATCTTATATTTTTTCTTTTTCTTTTCTATTTGTTTTTATTGTAATTTTTAATAATTAAAAAAGAAAAAAATAATTTAAACAGTACCATTAGACATTAATCACAACTCAGAATTCAAATTGCATTAAGTTACCTCATGTGGAACTTCTTGAAGACGATCAAGTGCTCTAATATGATCCAGTGTATCTATAGATGGAGACAGTCCTCCATGTAGACAGAAAATCTGTGAAAATATTAAAACTAGTATTAAAATAACTTTTTTTAATTATCAAAAACTAGTTAGCTGAACATATTTTCTGAAAGTTATAGATGGTTTTAAAAGGAAAACATCTGATTAAAATACATTGGAACATTCACCCTATTTTGTATTTTTGTTGCTATTAACAAAAAATATTCGTATTTTCAGCATACCTGTCCATCCACCAAAGCAGTAAGAGGAAGATAGTCAAAAAGATCTGTGAAGTATTTCCAGACATTTGCATTTCCGTATTTCCTTAAACACTCATCATAGAAACCATACACTTGAGTGATTTGCCTGCTTTCATGGTTCCCTCGAAGGATTGTGATGCGTTCACGGTAACGGACCTATTAAAAAAGGTAGTTAGTATTATCAGAGCAATTAAGAACTTTTCATTTTATGTTCCCTACCTCGACTTGTCCCGATCTCTATTAATATATACCGGTATCTTCCCCTATTGTAATCACTATTTACAGATGTATGGAGAAAACATAATGTTCTAAACATCTCTTGAAGCCAAATTTTAAAAATCTGTATTCCTTCTACCTCCTCTTGTTTAGGTTGATAGTACTGATATATAGGAGGGAGGGGGAGAGTGTAGTAAATTTAAATTCAAGAGTAGAATCTTATCAGTCCTTGATCTATGCTAAATGAGTTAAGTGAATTTTAAGACCTTTCTTGCCACAGTTAAGTGAAACATTGTGGTTGTTAAGTTAGTAACACGGTTGTTAAAAGAATCTGGCATCCCTTTTGGCTTTGCTCATTAGGAGGTTGCAAAACAGGATCACATGACCCCAGGACACTGCAGTCGTCATAAATATCAGTTGCCAAGATCTGAATTTTGATCACATGACCATGGGAATACTACAACAGTTGTGTGAAAAGTAGTCATAAGTCTATTTTTTTCAATGCTGTTGTAACTATGAATGAACTGTTGTAAATCAAGGACTACATATCTAAGCATCTTAATTAGTATGTGGGAGTTTCTTTGAATTTCTCCATTGCATAATTTCCTCCTCTACAGTTTTTATTTTGTGCAGAATTTTCAACAGTATTAAATCCTTACAGTAATTCAGAATATAAGCACAATATAATAAAGTTCAAAATATCTGGAAGTAACCCCAACATTTTCTATATGCCTGTTATTTCTAATCCCAACATGTTTTAAATGTATTTTTATTACCTTAAGCGCTACCAGAAGTGTTACTGTTTCAACAGAATAGTATCCCCTATCAACGTAGTCTCCCATAAACAAGTAATTTGTATCTGGTGATTTGCCTCCAATTCTGAAAAGTTCCATGAGATCGTGAAATTGTCCATGGACATCTCCACAAACTGTTACTGGACATCTTACTTCTTGAACATTGGATTCCTTTGTTAAGATTTCTTTAGCCTGCAACAAAGCAAAAAGTCAGCTTAACCTTAAGTAATTTCTGCTTCTGAACAATACTTATCATACATACAAGCATAATTCATTTGGACCCATAAAATAGAAAAATCAAAACTAAAAAACAGCATAAAATAAACATAATCCTTAAAACTGTCAAATATTATAGCGAGAGACAACAACAATAACAGTATTGTAGCGATGGTAGATTTTTCCAGGTTTCTTTGGATAGTTGAAATCAAAGTTCAGATAAAATGGATCCATCTAGATTTCTGGTTGGAAGCCTTGCTCTAGAAGTGGGTATTATTGCTGAGAACATTGAACTAAAAAGAGTACCAGATATTTTCTGAACAAACAGAAACCCAATCTTGCTGGGATTCAATTTTAACCTACTTTTGCCTATCCAAATTCTACAACTTCTAGCAATAGGTCAGAACTTACACTGTACTTGAAACAGACATATATATCTAAGTTATCTATATTTAATATCATCAAACTAATGATACCTCACCATGGACCAATATATGACTTCTAAAATGTCACATCCAAGTTCCTGACTTTCAGACCATTAGCCTGACAGATTAATATTACATTCACATATTTCTAAGGTTGGCAAAATGAAACTAGACAAATCTAATATACTTTTACAGTCTAGAAAAAAAAATTAAAGCCAATTCTCAAGTGCGAAATAATAATCTGCAAGGTAATTGTCTGCTAAAATGCATTAGGAAACTGTTCAAGATGGAACAGATCCGTAAGTAATTGCACCCTAAGCAATTACTTGTTTGCAAAACATTAAAGTAGCAATCATAGCAACAATTTAGTAAAAAAAAAAAGTTTATAAAAGTATACTAACCTTTTTACTATATTAAAAGTTAGTAGTAAAAGTAGAGCAAATTTTTAACCCCAAATTGCAAAAAAAAAAAGTTTCAATTCTAAATTGAAAGATTCACTTCCCCTAATGATTGCCAGTTAATTATACTTTTGTAAGAAATAGAGTCCTAGCCATACAGAAAAAAGATATTACAAATGTTAATGTGCACACCAATGGCAAGACTTGTTCAAATCATATGTGTCTGATTAACACTCAATTTCTTTCAGCCGATCTTCCTCCCAATATATGAAAACATTAAGTTAAAACATTTGTTGCTAGACAAAACTACAAATATGGTTGTTTATTAGAAAATGGAAGTCAATGCAATTTCAGAGAAATTAGGGCAAATGTGTGCCCCAGATACATGTTCCTTTCTTGACAAAATTGAATGGCACTTATTTTTTCGGATAAAATAAAGTCTGGTAAATTTTAGATAAGCATGTTCAAGATTTTTGTGCAAACAGTGCATCCAAAAAGGATGTACTTTTCTCATTGTGTTATTATGGGCATCCATGACAAATCCCTATAAGAGGGAGATAACACCCCATATACATCTGCACCTCAGAAGGAGAACTATGAAACAGTACTAAATATGGTAATCCTTCAACATATTTCAACATCCTTTCCCCAAAGCAATGTAGCTTCAGAAAGATCTAATGACTGCAGTGTTACCTGACTTTGGTGGCACATTCAATTCGATAAATTACATATAGGTATTTCAAATGGTGTCTTCTTTTAGAACAGCAGAAATTATAATCTCCAAGGAAAAGGGGCTACGGTACAACATATATAAAAGTTCTACTGCCAAAGAGTGAAACATCTCTAAATAAATAATTCAAAAATCTTTTAGTTTGAAACTTACCAATTAAGAAATCTGATTGTTCCATAGTTCATAGTAAAACTTATATCACAGAAAAGATATACATATTTGTTCAGTTTGATTCAAATTATTCAAAAAGAAAACTGAAGGAGAAGGAAAGCAGGCAAACTAAAAATAACCAGATATTGCCCATATTTACACTACTTTCATAAGTACTGAAAAGTTCTGGGGCCAATCTTTCCCATCTGCATAACATTTCATGTTTTTGCTACAGAATATTGCTAACTCAACATTACCCTATGCGAAGAGACTTTGAGTTCAATGTTGTAACTGAAGTTATTACTTGTGAAATAACAAAACTGAATGCTATTAATAGTGCTGAGAATAATAAGACAACTTCTGTGAACCTTCTTTCCTCCTTTAAACACAGCCAATTCTGAAGAATATTATTATTATCTGGGATAGCTTGTTCTTTAATTGACTACTCTAAAGGTAGGCAACCCAAAAGTATTGTTTTTGTATTAAGTCTTACATTTAACAGCATCCAGAAAGCTTTGAGAAATAATGAAGTTTGTTTTAGAATATGAAATACATACCATAAGCACCTAAGACCAGTTATAGTCTATTTTTAAAAATGTGAAATCTGCTATTCTTTCATAGGCATTATGACTTATTACCTTTCAAATAACTTTTTGCCAACACATTAAAAAATGAAAGTATTATTAAATACAAAGGTTTTTACCAATGTTAGTGGTTACCCAAAGATCAGCATTACGGATTAAAGTAAAATAAATTACTTAAAATTGAGGCATGCAACTGAAATTACTAACATAACAATGGAAATCATTTTAAGCTTAAAAAACAAGCTATTTGGATTTAACCATCCCTATGAATAAGTTTTGTTTAAAATGTAGAACAAGTACAAAAGCAGAAATGTTTCAGCTTTCTCTTAAGTGTTGCTTAGTTTTTCTCTATTCTAGCATGCAATACGTGTCTCTTTTCAAATAAAGTCTTTTTAGGACACAAAAACTGAGGGAAGCAGTGAGCACATTTAAAATTCTGCAGAATGCAATGGTATTTTCATAATATGACTATCATGGTCAGGTCAAATAAATGGATTATCTGAATAAAAACCAATACAGCTATTCACTGGCACTCTTTAGACAAAGCCTAACCCTATGATATCATTAATTGTGATTCTGAAATCTACAGAAGCTATTGTAATACAAATAAAATCTGCAGCATCCACACCAATAAATATTATCTATTTAATTATAATTACTAAGTCACAATTTCTTATCAGCTTTATTTGAAGACACTTTCCATTCACGTAACAGAACCACGAGAAGATTAAAATGGAATATAGCAATGATGGCTAACCTTTACATCATCACGTGCCGAAAGTGCGCTTGTGCCTGCACCCATAATGCAATGCGCACGTGACCCCCCCCCCCACCCCGCGCATGTGCACGCAAACCCTCCCTGCAGGTGCTCCACCCCTGCACATGCCCGGCAGATACCCCACAATCAGCTGGCCGGCAGGAGATACATGAGCATGTGCAGTGGACCTGATCTGGGGCAACAGTTCGCATGCCAGCAGAGATGGCTCTGCGTGCGACTTCCGGCACATGTGCCATAGGTTCGCCATCACGGGAATATAGCTTGTAATAAAATAATGAAGATCCAATAAATAAAAAAAATTCTTAAGCAGCAATACACACTGCATTGCCAAAATAAAATAGCACTTTGGAAGTTTTCAATTAAGAGAATATTAGTATGTATGCAAAGCTGTCCATCCAAGTCTGTATGTTCCTACAAATATCAGTCTGAAATTAAATTACAGCATTGATTTCAGGTGTCTAAAAATCAAATGAATGATTTTTTATTATTACTAAGTATTACCTTTCAAATAAATTTCTACAAGTATTTTATTCCCAACGCCAGGTGTCTTATGGCAATACTGGCAGGAATTGATTTTTTTTAACAACTCATCAATGGTCTACTATACAATTTGATTATTCTCAATGCTCCACCATAATAGAAAGGTAGCAAATTTTATACCTAAATTAAATTACCTCAATATAAATACTATTGGGTTTCTAATTTTTTTTTAAATGGCATACATACAAGAAAGCAAGTTCAGAAAAGTCAGACTGAATAAAATTCATATTTGCAGCAGTCTAAAGTAAAGACAATCAATTCCCCAAATGTTTTTAATCTACAGGTAGTCTTCACTTAACGACTGACAATTCCATTACAAACCAAGACAATCATTAAGCCAATTGTCAAGTGACTGTTCTGCTTAGTGATGGCATTTCTGACAATCCCAGTTGTTATTGAATGAATCCTACATGATCATTAGGCAAGAAGCTATCCGATTCAAGGCACTCTTGAACTGGATTCAAGCCAGACTTGAACAATGTGCCCTCTCCAACACAATGAATTTTAATTTGGAGAAAAGCAAAGTTTTACATTTAGGCAGGAAAAACCAAAGATGTAAGTACTGATTAGGCGAGACCTGTCTCAAATACAGTAACTGTGAGAGGGACCACAGAGTCCTAGTGGATGATCACTTGAATATGAGCTGGCAGTGTGCAGAAGAAGCCCCAGAAGCTAATACAATCCTGGGTTGTATAAACAGAGGCATAGAATCAAAATCACATGAAGTATTAGTACCACTTTATAAAATCTTAGTAAGATCATACCTGGAATACGGCAACTAATTTTGGTCACCACACTACGAAAAAGATGTTGAGACTTTGAAAAAAAGATCAGAGAAGAGCTACTAAGATGATCAAAGGCCTGGAGACTAAAACATATGAAGAATGGTTGCAGGATTTGGGGTTGTCTAGTCTAGAGGAAAAAAGAACTAGGGGTGACATGATAGCAGTATTCCAATATTTGAGGGGCTTGCCACAAAGAGGGAATCAGCTTATTTTCCAAAGCACCAGAAGGGAAGACAAGAAACAATGAATGGAAACTAATCAAGGAGATAAACAACCTGGAATTCAGGAGAAACTTTCTAACTAAGAGGACAATTAACCAGTGGAACAGCTTGCCTTCATAAATTGTGGGCACTTCATCACTGGAGGTTTTTAAGAAGTGACTGGACAGCTACTTGATATAGGTTCTCCTGCTTGAGCAGGGGGCTGGACTAGAAGACCTCCAAGATCCCCTCCAGCTCTATCCTATTCTTGGCAGGAGGTAACAATTGCTTCTACTTCAACTCCTTTCACCCACCTATCTTCCCCCCTCTCTGTCTTTGTTCATTTTATTGCTTGCCTATGTGCTGCTGTAAGCAACCCCTACCTA